ATCAGTCAAGTTACTATTTGATAATTGCAGTTCAGACACAAGACAGTGTTCATTGATCAGTGAATTACAGATTCGTTGTACTCCAGATAGTGACACCTGCGGTGAGTTATGTTTCAACATCTTAACTCCGACGAACTTATCAGAACTTTTGTGTTTTGCCTTTCCAGCTTCCTCTTTATGTAGTTCACTGATAACGTCCAATACAAATAACATTGCAATGTTGTCTGCATCAGATTAACCATCAAAATACATGACGCCTTTTGAACTACAGAATGTTTGGGGATGATTCCTGATGAACTTTTTGGCGAATTCTTTGTCCTGATATTCATTCAGTAACTTTGCTTTAATAAATCCAGTATTATCCCCTGAAACTAGGGGACTGTTCAACAACTCTTCAATCCGTTCCTCGTTTCCCTCACTTGACAGAATGCCAGCCATGAATTGGAAAATCATTTCAGAGCAACACTCCTCTGGGATGCGATTTTCCTTTACAAACCAACGTGCGGCCAAGAATTCTTGGACAGTAAGATGTGTGAAGCTGAAATGTTTCGTGGCTGTAATCAATACAGTCCTACAAGGCTGACCACAGTAAAGAAGACCGCTATCTTTCAGTTTGTTGACTTCTTCCAGTTCAAATTCGCCTTCTATCTCGCTTTCATCAAAAGTTGGCTTATTTTCAAGCAGCAGTTTAGCCGCTAGTTTTGATAATTTCTCTAATGTGATTTTGATGACCGGAAGAGGCTTGAATTGTTCAGGAATTTCTTTCTGTCTGTATTCTGAGTCGGCGCAGTGCTTAAGTTAAAAAATATCAATAAGTTTTGTGTAAATGTCGGTTGTTGAGACAGGAAGGTCACGAGGATTTCTTGTTTCGTTTAGAGTATACTCCATCTCGAAGCACAACAGATAACAGAGCATAGGAATATGAGCAAAACTGACTAGGTTCTCATTCTTCATGACATGTTCAAGCACAGCGCTCTTCATATTTTCGTTTTCATTGAAGTACTTTTCAATGTATTCTTTAACCTGTTGTGAAGAAAATCCCACAATTTCTACGTACCGTTTAAAACGGATTCCTCCCAGCTTATCCGATTCATCAGGCCGCGAGGTTACAACAACGACAGAACCTTTCAGTATCTCTCCCTTGATGAGTTTTGAACATAATGCGGCCACCGGCATTTTACATCTAGCGTCATTCTGATATTCTTTCCCCGAGTTTCCAGTGATTTCCTGGTGAGGCCTTTTCTTCCATGTTGTATGAGAAGATTAGTGAATATTTCATCCGTTTTCGCGTTGGAAATGGTGTGAGAGGCTAGCAGTTTGGGTTGGAACTCCGTTTGGTCTGTAATGGAAGTCTTTAAAGCTGTAGTGTAAGCAGTTATGGCTGAAGGATAAGAAAGAGAAAATATTTAATAAATAACAAGAACGCGAGGAGAACAGTTTCTGTACTTTACTGAATTCTTACTCCACAGGGTTGAACTTTTAAAGCTGTTGTGTAGGGACTTACAGCTAAAGAAAACGGAAAAGAAAATATCTTATTAATAATGAGAAGACGAGGAAATGCAGTTTAAATACTCCCTATCGAACTCAGCACAGGGATATTCAGCACAGAGCTTGAAAAGCGTCTATTGTGTCTACCAGATGACAAATCGATCCCTATTCAAAGGATAGAAAAGTTTGTTTCGTTAAAGCATTATTCCTCCCTTAAAAATCAAGTTTATTAGGTAAACAAACCCTTTCGGGCGGCTGGCATATCAGCTGATAATGTCCACTGCTGAGAGACTGTATGAAAAGTGAATATTTGCATGGGTAATCGTATAGGGCCGAGTAAAATTAAGGATTAATTTCACGCGTGTTTTCAGAAATCTAATGAGGTCAATACTGTACGCTGTTACGTACGTTCGTAGAAAGCCATTTCAGTTTTCACTCAAGTGTTATTTTTGTTCAACAACGTCAAAGAAATGAAAGCAACCCTGTTAAAAAATATTGCCATAAATGAAGTTATAAAATTTTTTGGCAGTTAGGCTATTTTAATGTTTCCTAAATTTTGGTATTCGCCCAGGCAAGATACCAAAATTAATGAAAAATGCCTTCTGTCTCAGCCAATCAGCATTTAATAACTTTGCCCTCCAAGTTAGAAGGCCTAGAAGCGAAGCTTCGAGAGAAAATGTAACATCATGAGGACAGTCTCTGAGCCAAGAACATTACCAGCCAGCAAACCAGAATAGGGTTTCTTTTGATATCGTGCGAAAACTGCTCTTTGAAAAGCTACTAGAGAGCTTTAGCAACGACGACGGCGACGGCAACGAGAACAGCAGAAAACAATAGGCTTAATGAGCAAAATCAATCGCCCTGCACGTGCGTTTAACAGTTTGGTACATTTCTTTGCCGTTCTCGGTAAAACAACAACGTGAAATAACCAAACGTTAGGTTTTCTCCGCCGTTCGTAGTGATACAGTCCCTAAATAGTTCGCCAGCATTTTCCAAGTGAAACACATCGGAACAACCTCGAAAGAGTTACAAAAACGAAAAGTTAGATTTCGACACGACGTTTTCTTTGCCGTCGACGTCGTCGTTGCTAAAGCTCCCTAGTGTTGATCTGACGGCGGATAAGTATATGCGACCAGCTTTTTAATACCACTATCACTGGACTCAACAAAACGAGTTTGCTTTTCTTGTGTGTTAAAAAAAAAAAAAAAATCAAAAAATAGAGATGAAAAGATAAAATTTTAAGCAAGCTCTATTTCCACTGGCTTTGTTTCTTTCTGACGGAAATAATCAGAGGAAGAGTATTGAAGCAAACGGTAGTTATTGCTTGATAACTGTCCATTGATTCTGCCCCACGCGACGTTCAGTAAAATCGCACGAAAACCAATGGCTAGGGTATAATTCGTAATAATCCTTGACAAATCTCTCCCTCCCCCACCACTTTATGTTTGTAACAACAACACTGGATTTCACGAAAAAATTATCCTTGAGAGGGGAGTGGAGTGTTGTCAGAATAGCTTGACAAGGGTTGCGTGACGTCTCATTCCGAACGCTTGACCAGTATAATTAAGTCACTCACAGCCATGAAAGATGGAAAAATCTGCATTTCTCAAACTCCATCGTACTTTAGACCTCCGGAGACTAATTTCAGAAATAGATATATCCGACAATTTCGAAAAACCCTATTTTTATAACTCTGAATTTCTAAAATGAAAGCAAGGAAAACTGTTTGCGGTGAGAAGGATTCACTTTAATCTAAATAGACCTCGAGGAGATTCCCTCAAGAGTAGGATATCTCAGTCCTGCAAATTTCTTTTACCGATTCGTTGCCAATCCGGGAACTTTTGGTATTGGATTTGTTAAACCTTTAAAACACCAATTTGTAATTAAAACAGCGTTCCGACTTGGCAGCGACTTCGGAGATTAAGAAGGACGCTGAAGTAGAAAAGATTTTTTAATTCGAATACTTTAAAACCATTTTTTTAAGCTTTAATTTTACCTTACTTCATGAGAGATTCTACGATCGGCGACAAAATTGTCGACGTGGTATGGGTTGCTAAG